ATATTATTCTTTATATTATTTATATAATTTATATAATTTATATAATAGCGCCTTTTCTTTGTAGATACAAAGCGCTTATTTTCTCTGGTTTTATATGATGCTGCTGGTAATCAGCGCAGGCGCAGGCAACCCCACCGGATAACCATGTATACTACTGGATAGAGAGAAGCAATGAAATAAAGTGCCTTGCTCAAGGATACAAGCGAAATATACAGCGAGGGATTGAAATCCCGACCTCGGAGTTGGGAGACAAACCGTTTCCGCTGTTTAATGCTATAAATATATGAAAAAAATGTTCAACATTAAGAGGAACCTGCGGGTGTGCAAAAATAGGTGCCTCAACAGTGATTTGAACTCCGGACCTTATGCAGACGCCTTAACCAACTAGGCCATTGAGAACAACAAAAATCAGACATGTTTCTTCATATTCACTACGACACTTTTAGTGCGAAAAAACCCGAATATAGCCTACATTAATACTAAGTAGGTATAGTAGTTTGTAACCTGTTTGTGTGCACGTTAAAGTTACGTTATTCTAATTCAAATGAATGTCTGATTCTATTAAAAGTATTTTTGTTGCTATTAAATTCGTCATAAATTACTTTCTGTTCGGAAGTTCAGCTGTATTATACACGACTTCACACAGAACCTATAGCCTATAGTTCCAGGTATAGACATTCCGATAGTGTCCGGGAGACACAAAGCCATGGGCCGTAGCCTTTCTTCAATATTCGGCCAGCTTTAAATACCTCAAACTGGGGGCCGTTTATGAGGTACCAATAATTCCATCCTATGATTGATTTGAAAAAACATTTCACTTTTCTTACCAGTAACATATTGATCCTCTGTCGATAATGAAACGAAGTCCGAGATAACGTCTTCAATATATTGTATTTTTGTTCCATGTTGGTCCAGTTTCTTCCTCAATTGTACCAACGACTCAAGCTCATAATAATCCGCAGTAAAGTTTTCGACATAAAGTTTGTTTTCAAATGTAATATTTGCTGGGGTATAAAATATAGTATGTTCAAATGTTATTTTAATAATTAATTCAAGACTAGTTTGCGCATGTTTGTGTGTGGGACAATAAACAAAACCCACACAAATCATTCTTGCATTGGATCTGCTCCAAAGCCAGAAGATGATGCTTCACTGGTATGGAAACTAAGAAGGGAACATCCAAAGAATACGGTACGTAGGTTTACTGTATATCATAAATTAATTGAAATCTGTACAATAAAACAACTTGAATTCTTAGGGTAATATTATTGATAATATATAGGTCCATACAAAACATACAGAATTTTGACAAATAAATAGTTGCCTATACTGTACAACTTTTTCTACAGATTTTACGTATTAGGCCTTATTTGAACTATTATATTTCTTACCATTGAACCTCACATCGCTGTAAATTGTTTCATTTTCGGATAACCTGACTTTTTTCTTCAGCTCCTGAAATAATTCACCCAAGCGCTCAATATTCTCGGTTATGGAGTCTTTAAGTTCCGGTATACTGCTCAGTATTGGGTGTGTTGCATAAGTGATATCTAAAACGAATCATTTTAGCACTGTTACAAGCTTTGAGTTTTAAATTATCAAACTAGGCCAATATAAATTATTATTGATGCAGTAGTCATCAGTTTTCATATTAGAATAGTTGGCCTGATGTGTATCATTATGAGAAGAGACCACTATATATATATATATATATATATATATATTTTAGTTGCAAATGGAGATGAAACAACCACGTCAGAACCCACCAACAGCGCGATCTGGATATCCGACCGGGAATAAGATATTAGCCAGTTAATTAGGATGCACGATGTTATAGCTGTATAACTATTATTACATTTTTATTTATATAGAAATTGGCTATTATTGTATAATTTTTAATCTCAAGAATATGACAAAGGCCAAATCATACTATAATATGGTTCGTTGAATTAACTGGATAGATTTGAGGACTGCCAACACTGTGCTTGATTTACATATTACAATTACCTACATAACACTTTCAGTATAGAAAAAAAATTATATTTAGGTAAATAATAATTAATGTAAAATTTGTACCATCGCCCATGTTATACAGAACTCGCAAATTACAGGATGCTTAATAAATCAATTCTTTTTATGATGCTTAGGATGTGGAATTAAATTCCAGTTAATCACTTTTAATTGTACTCGCAAATTACAGGATGCTTAATAAATCAATTCTTTTTATGATGCTTAAAGGATGTGGAATTAAATTCCAGTTAATCACTTTTAATTGTACAAGTTTAAGTTGTTAAAATTTGGTCGAACGGAGGCTTATTATTGTTAATTATTTTTTTGTTATTTGTTTTACTTGGTATTTATACAGCGCCTTTAGGTTACATAGCGATTTGTTTTCCCTGGTCATTGGGTTCACGTCCTTAAGTGTTGCTGTCATATTGGAGCAGAGTAGCAAGCAACCCTACCAATTACCAATATATACTGCATGCTGGGCAGAGAGAAGCAACATAGATACTGTAAAGTGGCAGAACGAGTGATTGAACCCCTGAGCTCGAAAGTTGGGAAACCAAACTGCTTATTGTGTGGAAAACTGCACCCTGCAGAGGTGGCGAAATTATTGGAAATAAAACAAATACTTTTCAGTTGTTCCTCAAGAAAATACATAAGGTTAAAAATTTGTTCATGGTTAGTTTAGAGATTTTATGAATAAAGCTTCATATTATACCTTCACTCTTGTTCACAAAGCTGAATTGGTAGAAATTAGTAAAGCCTGAAGTATGTGTAGAGTTTGGCTTGTACGTAAACGAGGCATAGGCGTTCCCATCCAATTCAAAAACAGACATTTCATCTACTATCGGTCCCAATTGAGAATTGTTGTTCCACTGAGGAAATTGCTGTTCAGATATAGCCCAGTCTCCTTCGTCATCACATTCGTAAATAACCACACCTAATGATGGCTAAGTACAACAATTAAAGTCAAAGCATGTGTGCATCCGTTAGGGTTAAACCTACTAGTGTACATAGGAATATATATACTGGTACAGTAGTTTATGTCAACAAGTTATCTCAACTGTCAAACCGTTTCAATTATACTCATCTATTCAACACATCATCAGTATAATTATATTTGTATTGAATTAATGTGGTAGTCTTAATTTGGTTTTCCCATGTAGATTTATGAGGATAGTGATGGTGTAAGGTTCTGTGTAGATGAATGTTGGATTTAGGCTAGCACGGTACCAAACACAAAGCAAGCTTGCTGGTACTTTCGAATTTTAGAAAAGTACAATGTCGATGACCATCGTCGTCACCCTTATCTTCTTATTCATTCATCATCACGAGAGAGAACGTTCCATGTTTTGAAACTTGCCTGTACAGGTGTCCTTAAATAGTAGCTAGTAAGTCACGGTTACTTGTCCACAGGCTTGATGTGGATGACGACACGGATTATGATGCGGATTATGATGCGGATGATGATGAGGATGATAATAAGGGTGAAAATGCGGATAAGAATGCGGATGATAATGCAGATGACTATGATGCAGCTGACTATGATGCAGATAATGATGATGTAGATAATGATACCAATTTCTCATTAATCAAAAGAAAATGTATGATGATAAGGTTTCATTGTTAAGATCTATCTGCTACCAACTACGAAAGCATGAAGAACAGCAAAATTACAGCAATAGTTTTTATAAAGTATCGTTTACTTACATCAACGTTAGCTACAAGTAATAGGTCGTCTCCATTCAATAGGTGTGTGTATTTTATGTCTTTGGCACCTGAGGTCTGTATTCGTTGATATTCCAAAAAAAGTTCACCTAAAAACATAACATATGGAACCTTCATTAAATACGTATATAAACATATGTATTTATATTAATTTCAAGGTTAAAGGACAAATAATCTGCAAGTAGACAAAACATTTTCCAAACAAGTATTCAAACCCAGCCCTTCTGGCAAATTCCCAAAGAAGGCCCAGCGTTCTAGTTGGTTAAGTATATACAGAAGAAAAGCAGAGTTCGAATCTCAGATGAGAAAACACTTACAACTCTTCTTTAACGTTGACAATTTAGAGTTTATAGAATGTATTTAAAATGTTGAAATTCACAGAAAATACCAAACATATAAACATAGTACTCTTTCTAGCTTCTGGCCCATATACATTGATATTTCCTTAAATCATGAAAACGTACTCATTTAAATGTTAATAGTTTAAATAAAATTTATCATAGATATGTTTACGGGGTATAATAATAGTCATATTACAGTATATTATTATGACCACAACTTTTATTCATAGCCATAATACTAATTCTTAAAAGGATGCGTTGAAGATTATTGCATTTCTTTCAATGATTGTACTGCAATTAATTAAGCAAAAACCAAACTTCAGTGGTGTATTAATACATGCTTCTTTTTTTTTTTTTTTGCTTTGGTGGTTGGATATAACGAGTAGCTCTCATAATAATTTCATATTTTTCAACATTCGGTACAATGATCAATTCACATGATCAATTACATTCATAGAATGCGTCTCTACTAATACACATAATTATATCAAAAATGGATTTTTTGAATCATGACACTATTGATAACTTGATAGAATAATTATACTTTATTATAAACTATAGGCCTATATCTACTATGATATAAATATTAATAAAATATGTTTATTATAGGCCTATATATATTTATTTACATATAGTATATTTATATGAACATTATATATTATATATATTATATATATATATTACATATATTATATATATATATTACATATATTATATATTTATTACATATATTATATATATTTTATATATATATATATTTTATATATATTATATATTATAAAATATATAATATTATATATATATATATTATAGCCTATATATATTCAAGATTCAAGATTTCATTTATTGTCCAAAAATGGAAATACTAGGCGGAAAACATTTCATTGCAAGGTTACAATATATAAGACATATAAAAATACATATAACATACAGAATGATTAAAACCCGTAATTAGAAACAAAATATAAGACAAGTAAATTAAAATTAATTAATAGAGTACAGTGAGTTATATTACTGTACAAATATTGCTGAGATTATAAGCACCAGTTCACATTAAGGGATCTTAACTAGTTTATGTCGCGATAAATATAATTAAACATATACTTATACATATATATTATATATACAGTATATATATTATATTATATATATATTATATATATTATATATATTGTATATATTATATACATTATAAATATTATATATAAGCTTACCAGTCCACCAATAAACTACAGAGTCGGTTACTTCATTTTGAATCTCGCTGTTTTCGACTATGTTGTTGGTGAAAGCGAGGAAAACGTCATGATCCAACTTGTACATAGTCACACTTCTTGGGGCCGTAGTTGGAATAATCTGAATAAGGGAAATAGCTGGGGCGTCTGTAAAATAACGGATAACAATAACAACAATAACTATAACAATAATAATAACAACAATAACAGTAAAAACAACAATTATAATAACAATTATAATATTAATAACAATAACAATTATAATAATAATAATTTTAACAATATTAATAAAAATAATAATAAAAATAATAATAAAAATAATAATAATTATTATTATTATTATTTTTATTATTATTATTTTTATTATCAATAATAATAATAATAATAATAATAATATGATCAACAAATAAAACAACACTTGTTTAATTGGCGACCCAATCACAACCTACAGAAAAACAACCATATTTCTACTACCTAGAAGATGAGCCTACAGGAAACCATATTACAATACCATGTAACAGCTATATTTAGGTTTATCTATGGTTTCACTCCTAGGTTCCATCTTCTAGAAATAGTGAAAATAAATGGTTGTCGGAGGCTTCATCAGGCTTTAATTACAGAGTATTGAATTTTTAAAATTAATTAAACATACACAGATCTATCTTGAGAATTTTACTGCCAACAGCGTAGTTAAACTCATCATCTATAAACTGCGTCACAGCGAGGTATAGTTCTTCACCAATTTTGAAAAATTCCAAGTCACTGGCACCATGAGTTTCATAAATTAGAATTTCGTCAAAGTAACTGTCTTTCCATTCGTATATTCTGTGTATCAAAATACATTTAACAATATGACCAGTCATTTGTATATAAGGGCCGATAGAAATAATTGTTAGATTATCACTCGCTCCATCGTCAACAATTTTAAAAATATTTTGACGCGGTAATAATTTTTCAAATGTTTTATCTTATCAAAATATTTAACAACATAGGCCTATCGAGTGGTACGCCAAAAAAGTCGTACTACGACCCAGATGTTATTCGTGCATTTTGTTTTTTAAATGCAATCTAATTTAACCAAACATTCAAATGTGCATCTTTGTTACAAATATTTCATTTAAATACGGTACTGTACAGTTCTCCATGTCCTGAATTTATAAATAAGAAATAAACCCCCTCTCTCTCGTAATTTTGAAAATCTAGAGTAATAATCTAATATGTATTTCTATCTGCCATAAAGAATCATTGCTTTGAACTCTACAATATCCTAGCTGGAGAGAAGCAATGCAGATTAAGGTTTTGCTGAAAGAATAGCGAACCGAACATCGAGGAATTGAAACCCCACCCTCAGGGGTTGGGAAAATTAGTTGGGTATAAATAAATTGAACGTACACTTTTAGAAGTTTAGAACAGTGGCACTCGTCATTTTGACGGTTCGTTCAGCAACATATAGTACATAAATAACCTTAATGCAGTCAAACCAAACATTCAAAACAAAAGTAAGATGGTGAAAAAGAAAACTCAAATTTAATATGCATAACTTCTTAACAAAATAAAGCCAATCCCATGTTACACCAACCAATCCTTAAATGGATGCAGTCATTCCAATTTATCCCTTTAATAAAACAATATAATAAATATATATAAATATATAAATTTGACTGGTCGCAAACTGAATTTAAATTGTTAGGAATCCACTTTGATGTTGAATTGGAACATGTTCCAAAAAAATTAAAAAGAATGCAAGTAAATATGAATATTTGGAAAGCACGAACACTTGCCCCATTGGGAAGGAATGTAATTTTAAAAACACTTTTATTATCGACATTAAAGCATCTGTTTGCAGCCCTTCCAAACCTACCGGAATATATCTTAGACAAGTTACAAAAAATGTGCTTTAATTTCATATGGAAGTGAAAACCTGATAAAGTGAAAAGAGAAGTAGCAACACGTATTCCCAAACATGGGGGAATCAATGTTCCAAAAATTAATGAAATAATTGCAGCACAAAATCTAGGATGGCTAAGAAAACTTTTGTCAAACACAAGTAAATGGACCGAGCTTCTCTTTCAAAAAAATCATGATAGAAACTTATTTTGGTTTGCGGACAGTAAATACATAACTACTCGAATTATTCCAAACCTTTTTTGGAAAGACGTGTTATATTCATGGGCATCGTATAACAAAATGTTTAAGAGTAATATTAGAAATGAAAAAGAAGTACAAACACAATGTCTATGGAATAATGATGATATAATTGTTGTTAATAAGCCTATCATGTTTATGAAACTCTTCAAAAAAGGAATAGTTTTTGTTAATGATATAATTCATAGAAACGGTAGATTTTATACACTAGAAGAGTTGATTAATACTTACTCAGTCGATATATCATTTCTAGTGTATGAAGGAATTAAACAGGCAGTGAGGTCATATATGAGCAAGCATAATGTAAGAAAATTCACCAGCGCCCAATGCTATCCAATTTACCCTAATAAGAGAATTCAATTACAAATTTCTAGAAAGGGATGCAACTTCTTTTACCATACTCTACTCAATTCAAAATTTACGAAGTTGCCGTGTAATTCCAAATGGGAAAAAATATTAGGCATTGAGTTTACTGACAAACAGTGGGAAGTGTTTAATATAATACCAATCAAATGCACAGAGAGTACGGATATGAAATGGTTGCAGTATAGAAATATACATAATATATTACCAACGAGAAATTATCTCTATAGATTAAAGTACATTGATTGACCATTATGTATTTTTTGTAAGCAATTTCCTGAAACAATTGACCACATTTTTTGGGATTGTGAAAAAAATATATCAGATATGGAAAGGTTTGGAAAGCTGGATATATAAAAACCTTAATACAATTACAATTTTCAAAGAAAATGATAATACTTGGAATGAAGGAAAAAATAATAACTGTATTAATGTTGTTATTATATTAGTAAAGGAAATTATCAATAGAAATAGTATAAAAGTATTGCCATATATAACAAATATAAAGAGAGAAATTGTTAGATACTATATTACAAGATATATATATATTTTTCTGCCTGTAATCAAGAGAAATTCTTTTCATTTTGGTCTTCACTGCTTGTTCTTTTTCAAAGCTTCAAATAAATAATGAATATTTAAATGTTTCAAGTCATGGCCTTACCCTGGCTTTTGGTATATAAATAGTTCACCTAACGTAATGGTTTTGAATATGAAATACAATATTATATTTTCACTAGTAAAAGAATTTATAAAAATGTTCAATGTTGTTAGATGTATACTATTCTAAGTATTGAAAAGAAGGGCACTTATTTAATTGTTTTTGTTTATTTTTTTTTAATGTAATGTATGATTAAATGAATAAAATGGTCAATAAAAAATAAAAAAATATATAATAGTACATAAAATCAAAAGCAAAAAAAAAAACAAGAAACCAAAAACAAAAAACAAATTAAGAGCATGATTTTTTTTTACTAATATCATTAAAGTACAAAAAAAAAATAAATACATTGTATCACAAACCTTATATCATTTCTGTATTTTACATTCAGATCCGAACGCATGTTTGCCACTCCGAATATCAACGTGTCGTGGAACGTGATGGAATCGACAGCCGATGCGCCATTTGTCAAAAAGGAGAAAAGAAGTTCAGGTGCTATTGCTTTACCCTCCCATAAATGCACTGTTGACAGACCTGTGTATGTAAGCTCACTAGCCACTGTCTGGAATCTATAATTTGCTGTTAACAGAAAGACTGCGGTATCGTTGTATGGTATAATGTCAACATCGCTTGGAAAGGACATGTCGTAGGCTGCAAGTTCATCATCTATATGGACATTGCCATTTTCACTCACAGTAATCGGTGATATAGAAGCATAGCCATACAGATCAAGAAAATAATAACTCCCTTTGAGACTGAAGAACTTCAATATGCCCTCGATGTATGGATCATCAGAATCGTTTTCAACAATGATCCATTGGGTCGTCGATAATTGGTCTGTCAAGTTAATAAGAAAACTATTGTGAGATATCAAATAAGTGTGTGACTGTTTTACTCTATCATATGTCTCCATCAACGACGGCGGAAGCGGGGGGCCAGGGGGCCATTCCCCACCTACTTTTTCTACTGAAGGGGGAGCCTACCCCCCCCCCCCACTTTTGTGACTGTTCCCAGCACCACTGGCAGTGACAGTGATTTGGTGCTTACACCTTGTTTATTTGCGCCTTATAAATTGACCTACTATTATTATAAAATATAGAATTTTTTTTTCATTTTCTAATGAACATTACAAGTTCCCTTTTTGAGTTGACGTCTGTATACGTGCGTCTGTTAAGTTTCCTTGAAACCCACCCTCGAGCATAAAGAAAAAAATCGCCTTCATTCGTGAATTTTGTATTTAGGCATATGGGGAGAGCACTCTGAAAGGAGCGACGTTCTAGTTCTCTCTCTGTTAACCACGAAGATGTATAGTAAGTGTAACTGATTACAGTAAACCTTCAAATAACCACATTTAAACTAACTCCGTCTAATTTACTTTTTTTTAATTCTTTTAAATAAGTTCTCTGAAGGTTAACTACATAATTTACAGTACACTGTATTTAATGTGTTCTAGGTTGTAAAAACTGTATTGAGTGAGGAAAAAATCTTTCGAATAAAAAAATCTCTCGCTTGACATTAGGAATTAATTTGTGAAACAAAATGATAGGCTGTGTCTCATTTCATTTCAGAGTAAAATCAATCACTGTCGAGTGGAGGCCCTTCAGAGAAAAACACAAATACTTACAATATAAAATTCTTCAAAAAGATAATAAATCGAAAGATAAATATTGAAATGTAGAAAAATGTGTAAAAATCAATAAATGAGCAAATTTAATTTAAAAGGTATTTTGAGATATAAATATATTCAGATAAGCATTAAAAATTATCTTAAAAGTGTCAAGTGTTATATTGAACAGTGGCAGATTCAAGGGGGAGCCCAACAGTAATAAAGGTGGTGACCATCGAAACGAATAAGGTGCTGTCAGTCTTTGTAAATAGTTTGCTGTCTTAGGCCAACACTTAACTTAAAAAGGGGGGGGGGGTAAAGTCTGATATATATGTTTCATCTACGGCTCATTGAGCTGATGTGTTTACTGTAATTAAGTTATATTTTATTGCTTTGAATTGTATTTTTGTTTGAAAAATAATTCGGTTTTATTGGAGGTTTATGTTGTACTGATGTTCATGACATGTGGGTGTTGTGTAGTGAGTGAATTAAAGTTGTAGGGCATTAGACAAATACACCCTGAGCAATATTGTGCTAAGACAGTCAGGTTATGAGGGAGCATTTTTGTTCTAAGTTTACCATCAATCCTGTTTATAAGGCCATTTCTTTATGGTTCTATCTATAAAAGGGATTAATGATAATGATCATTTTATTTTATATTTTGTAATTTAATTAACATAGTGGCGCGTTCACTTACAGTACCTATACTGAAAATTACTCTGCTGCTACCTTCATTGTATTGTACCAACTTATTTGAATATTGGATTTCATGTGTTGCTTTTGTAGCGTGACAACTACCTGTTCAATATTTTGTAGATTTGTGTTGGTGTATATTTTATTTTACGATATTGGTTGATATAAATAGGAACTCAAAAATGCCTAAAAGAATGTCCGAAATTACCCAGATTAGTATGTGATTAATATTATTATTTGGGAACTCCTTCTAAAACAATCCTTTGGACTTAAAGGGTTATCGTCTGCTTTTCATTTTTGACTTATTTAATGATGGGGTGGGTTTATGGCAGTTTCTGTATTATAAAATTTTAACCTGTAAAAATACACTTTCATAGTTTTCAGCGCCTTTGAGCCGGGTTCTTCGAGAAAAGAACAAGTAAAAGTGGTAAACTAGATCTGAATGGTGAATGAGCATGGGCGGGAAACTTACCGTCAAGATTACGCTTGTATCTCATACGACTTCTCATTGCTTTTGACAGGTCTCGCTTGTATTCCTGTACTTTCATATCAAGAACTCTGCGAAAAGATTCCCTGAATTCTTTTGCAGCCGTCTCGGTGGGAGTTTGAGAATACGACAAAGCCGACAGGGCCAGAACAAGTACTAATGCAGCGCTTGTCGACGCCATATTAACTGCAATACACAACACTTTCCATTATTTGAATCATTAAATGTAGGCATAATAATTGTAATTATTGTAAAGCGAGCAATTATTCTTCATACAAGCATGAGTAACTTTGAGAGGGTTTTAGTATTTAACAAATTATAGGCCGATGTTTATATCTTTTGCAGGAGGCCAAATAAACACACAATAAACGTGTCCTCAAAAACGTCATTTTACTACCCTTAACGCCTCTCAAATAAGTGTTAATAAAAGTACAATGATGTCTGAAGTAAAATTTGATTTGAATTAATAATTTCGCTTTAGTAGGTCATTATCTATCTATGTCCCGAAATAAGAATATTTTAAACGAAACTTAATGAATTATACTTATCTGACAATTCTTACACAGTGCTAAAATAACCACTCTCTTTAATTCATTTTATTCTATAACTCGTTAGTTATGTTATGGGATGAAGGATGCTTTACAACCAAAATCTTTTTATGAGGCTTAGGGAGTGGAGTTGTTTTTATTCTTATTTTATTTAAACCCAGGACCCCAAGATTAGAAGAACCACTATCCAACTCCACTCCAGTCACAGAATAACTGAAATTCAGAAGACGACTTAATAAAATTAAGAATATACAAAACAATATATCATCTAAAATTTGATTAAATAACAAAAATTTTAAATTTAAAAAGTACTATTACTAGTAGAAGAAGAATATACAAGTGAAACACACTGGTAAATGCTTTGTTATGGGCAAGTACTGTTAGTATAATTCCACTTTCATTGCAGTCCACTCTATATTGAATGGAATGAAAAGGTTGGATTGTGTCTATTAATTTTTACTAAAAGTAAGGAACAGAGTGTGCTGCCAAATAGGTAATTTAAACAAGATCATATAAAAAAGGTACCTCTGTATGTTAAAAGAACAAAGATTAGACCTTATAGTTATTATTCTAATAGGAATATCTATTATTGTTTACTTAATATCGTTTAGTTATCAAATTAGTAATTTTTATTAAAAATATTATTAATCATATTTATTATTAAGCAAAATTATTATTTTTAATTAAATTTATAATTATCATTACCGTTATTAATACATAAAATGTGGATTACAATATTTCGATCGCTATAAATGGAGATGGAATCGTAATTAAATTTTCAATGGCAACAACATATTACAGCAAGAATTGTAGCGTGAGGGGCAATGTCACAGATGTCAAAGGGCGGCCAGTATTTAGCCGTGGTGGTGCAGTCCATTTTCAGTAGCATACATGCCAACAAATATCTATTTATTAGGTCTATATTGTTATTAAACTTCTGTTTTGTCGACAGAATAAAAATGTCATATTATCTAGACAGAAGGGCATTATGTATACAGAATAGTAAATCTTCCAAAAACGGTGTCCCATATAATCGGTAGAGCATGGCCATTTAAATATCAAAATACGCCATTAAAAATTCAAAATCATGACATTGCCCATACCCCCACTGAATCCTACTCGGTCCTAGCGTCGACGATAATGAGGGGCCCCCAAAAAGTCTTAGCAAAGGGTATAATGCCTCTTCGTTACGTCACTGGGTCTTGATACTTCTTTAAACATAAAGTGAACACTACCTCAATGTCAATCGACAGACCAAGCGTTTGAATTTCAATACGCACGCTGTAATACCAATTGCTTCAGTTTTGTTGTTTGTTAGGGGATTTCTTCATTTGTACATCTTGGCAGCTTTCAATCGATTTAGTATAGTTCATGAATGGTTTCTGAACATGTTTGTATACAAACGTACACAATGATCAGAGAGATACTCATCATCCTTTCAAATATCGGTGACGAATCAATGTTTTCGCCATGTTTCTTGTTTGCAAATTTATATAGATGGGTACTAATAAGGTCATTAAAGCAGTATACAATAACGTAATTTCCCTTTTTGACTTGGCAGTTATACCATAGTTCCTTATTTTAAGTGAGATAGAGATTTATATTATCCGGTACATATTACACGCAAAAAATAAGGCCGTCTAAGTATTGTTCAGACGATTTTACAAAAATCTGAGCTTATTGACGAGGCTAAAAATTGAAAAAAAAAAATAATGCTTCCTCCAAAACCCCCTTAAACTAAATCGCCCGTATGTATACTTGTAAATGTGGTATATTATTAGTAATAATGATAATTATTATTATTATTATTATCTCAACAATATGTACAGGTATCTCAATTCCCCGATTGAGATACGCTTACATGTCTGCGTCATTCCAAGCAAGCAATCGTAGTATAGACCTACATTGCTACACCTACACCAAAATATGCTGATATTTTGTTAACAAAACCACTGACATGTGGGTTGAGGACTATGTGACAGACCCAATCCAATGTGTTTGCGACATATGATAGCTTAATTACCAGAAAGTAATAGAAAATTGACTTACACATTCATCAATATGAGCAACTGTACCTTAAAAATCAAACTGGTACAACGGAACGACAAAAGCAAAGTGTGTCTACACACACCAGCATCTACCAAAGAACGACATATACGCAAAGCATCCATCCACATTAGCATTTATGCAAATTATAAGGTGGCACACTCGCCATCAATTAATGCACTGTTAATTTTGTCGAACCTATTATTTAATTTTATATATATTTATTGTAATTATTGTAATTAATAAATAGCTATAATAATTACAATATATATATAATCATGTTTACATCTTGTTTCCTTTGACTTATTGTTATTGATTCGTTCGGAGCTACATGAAATGGACGCCTTAGAATACATGGGTAAGTCTCACTAGGTTATTACATCAATTTTATTCTGTTTTATTGGTGCCGCCAGGATTTGCCCGAGAGGGGTGGAGCGTGATTGGGCAGGGCCGGGATGAATAGAGATGGGGAGTTGGGCTGCTAACTGGAGGATTAAACTATTTTTTACAAATTTAGTGGAGTGTTTATTGTTTTTTTTTTTTTTTTTTTTTTTTTTTTTTTTGTGGGTTGCGGGGGGGGCAGTTTGCGGTGGGCCGGGAGGGGTGTTGTTTATCAAGTTTTCAGTCGGGGTACCGAGCTGGGCTCAACTTTTTTGGGAGGATTTGCGTCTGCAAACCCCTTTTTCACTTTACACCACTGGGGCCAGTGAAGGCTCTGGATTTCTTGGTATAAATTGAATTTGGGCACCGTTTCCCATAGGATTATGCAATGATAATTACAGTGGTAATTATAATTATCATAGTAATAATAATAATAATAATAATATTAAGTATTATTATTATTATTATTATTATTATTAATATAGTAATAATAGTAATGATAAATAATAATGATGCTAGTGAGATAAAGACAATGATCATAATAGGCCTACAAATAAAAATATCAAATATAATATTGCACCCATATCAACCAGTTTGCTGTTTTTACTTTCGATCCATAGTCTGAAAGTGCTAATGATGTCTTTACCCACAATCTGTTGTATAGTAATTATTGTGCCTTGATATCGTCAAAACAGTATAAACCAGTTCCATTACTTATGGGAGTGTGATGAATTTGTGTGAACAAATATTACAGGTCGTGTTAGACTGTATCTATTATATAAGATTCATCAATCGAGCAAAATGATATCCCCTAACTTTGCATTGGCTGTTTGCACTTCTTCATCTACCGTACCATCCCTAACTATCCTATTGGGTTTCCGTTGACACCTGGTCACCTTAAAACGTGTGGGGATCGTTACTGTTTTGTTGCTGAACCAAAGCTTTCAAAACAACCACCTGAGGCTGTGCGTGACTCTCCATCTTCTTCAAGTCTCCACTCAAATCCCATCTTTTCTCTATATTTTGAATATGAACTTATTCCCTCTGTTTCGGTTGTGTATTCTTCCTTTTTTGTGCACTTAAAGATAGTTTCTCAGCGCATAGAAACGATACCGTATTGTATTAGGCGCTTTGCAAGTATATCGCCATTACCATTACTTCGAACTTATGATAACTAGCAGAAATATTGGTATATTATAATACAGTACCAATACCATAGTGAGACAGTGCTTAATAAATTGTGTGATTAAATTCGTAAGGTTGATGCCGTCTTGTCCTTAATTAGCTATTCAAATTGAACCCTATTGAAATCTCAAAGCATACACATATCCTGGTGAGAACATACTAATTCCTCCATGGTAAGAACAAGGTTCCAGTGTTCCAGGCTCCAGTGTATTTTGTATTGTTTTCACCTAACAATGGAGCTTTACTCCTGACTACCCAGCCATAAATTACTGTTAAGCGTCTTTTTCTTGTGGTAATAAATTTGCTTTAGATGGGTACCCGGACAATGTTTCCTGAACCCTACGTATGGAAACGCACATCTGCAACAAAAATAGAATAATTTAATGGTGGGCTAATCTAATTTATTCATGTTAAATAATACTTTTGCATGGACATTTGAAAGAGGGCGCAGGATTTGTACAAGAGGTTTCTGAAATTCCCGACGAGGCTCGGGGCCACATAGGACACTTCCAAGAGTGAAGGTGGCAGTAGGGTAGCACAGGGACCTGAAACATGAAAAAATGTAACGGCGTGCTGCAAAAAGACTATTGCAAATGGTGTATTATATGACACCCTTTTTGAAGGCTCCCCGCGAAGGCATAGGCCTACAGTCATTAGAATTTAGGGTTAATAATTTTTGTTTACACTGGAGGATATAGAAAAAACAAACGTTTTGTAGAAATTCATTTAAAAAAATTGTAATTTTTCTTCTTTCCAATGATATACTTTTTTTTTTTATAAATATAAATTTTTACTGTCGTAGAAAACACAATAGATATCCATACATAAAACCCACTTATTCATGTCCCTTTAATCTATATTTGTAATTATTTTTCCATGCCAGCTTGTTTTTCTATAGCTTTAACTAGGATAGAAGGCGCCTGTCCGGGATGGCCGAGACTCAACTGGTGCTGACCGGAGTTCAATTAGATCGAACCCTAGTTAGCGTGTCTAGCGACGAGGGCGTATCCCAATACTCCGGTTTGCGTGGATTTCAAATTTCACTTCATTTATTATTTTCTGGTTGGTTTTTCTATTCAATTTTTTACACTTGCAGCCCGGTTTTATAGCGCTTAGAGACTTTTGTATTTTGCGCCCTAATAGACCCCTAACTGAAAAACATTTAGCGGTATACAATACCATTAACGTAGCCAACCACACCATAGCGGCATCTGACAATTATTCAAGTACATGATACAACACATTTCAATACTCGAATATAAAACAAACAAATAAAAAAACAGTAATTTTCATAAATCCACCCGTCCCTCCCCACAAAAGTTAATTTAAACATGGAAACAGAGGACAACACTTTGAGCTTGAAGATTTGTTTCAGAAGAGGTAGCCAAACATCGCTTTCAAACTGTAAACTATGGTTACTGATATAAAATACTGATGTTCGATTTTTTTTCCAGAATCCGGTGGATCTAAAAATATTGTCATGCAGAAGTGTGAAGTCGAGACATATTATGAGATTTTTGAAGAAGTGGGGAAGTATGTCTATCATGTTTCTTTTATATTAACCTGTTTAATGTTAATAAGCTGTTAATTTTACTTTTCAGACATTCAGTTTATCTAAATGGCCCCACATCCACACCCCACTCCGGATCGTATAAAAAATAAAAGAAGCCTACCAATCAATATCAGAAACCATCTGTGAAAATCGGACGCATGTAGACCTAAAACTAGGCATGAGGTTGCTAACAAACACATACACAGACACATAAAGAAAATCCGATGAAAATATAACCTCCTTGCGGAGGTAATAATGATAGTGTGACAAGGACGATGATGACGATGACGATAACGATAATATTAACTTGACTAAACTGTGTCTGTAATGAGAAGCGATGTTAACATTTATATATTTTAGGTTAATTATTATTATACTTATTATTATACTTATTATTATTATTATTATTATTATTATTAGTATCATAATAAAAAATAATAATAATAATAATAATAATAACAATAACTGACCCAGATTTTAAACTATAATATTTCCCAATCTGTATATATGCGTTATACATGCATGCGTTTTGGTGTCAGCGCACTCACTATGATACGTATAGAGTCTGAGGTTCAACCGATTGTTATAATACATGTTAAACTTCATAGCAAGTTTAATTCTACAGTTATAAACGTCCTCGTTAATAGCTCTTTGGGATTTATATACATTAATACCTATTAAGAAATCATTAAATAATTGTAAACCCAGTCAGTCAAACAGGCAATAATGACGATGATTCAACTTCTAATCGCAGGTATTCTAGTTTAAGGTATAGGTATTAAGGTAGGTAAAGGAAGGTCATACCGTACATACAAACTGTACACTTACACCCAGTTAGTTATCAAAAGAATATGTGTTTATATAGTCTGTTGGAACACTGGAACTTTGTTTTCAATTTGAATAAACGTTGGATAAACCATTTAAACGCACTGTTGCTGTATCATCGCTATGACAACGCTTGATTAGTAAAGGACAGACTAACTTGGTTATATTTTAATCAGCTATGCAAGTTTATATTTTGAATATAAATCAAGAATCTTTTTAAATACCTCAATCAACAAAATTGATACATTTACCTGATGTTTATTAACTCGGCTTAAGACGTTCATTGTCATCTAGGCTTATTCAATAAAATTGGTGTATTCTGAAATCAACTCCTTGTGCTAATGCATAATGTGTGTAGGACTAAACAATAGCCATAATTATGTAAACAGTATTGATTATTGATGTTGCCGATAGATCTCGTCAAAACATTTATAAGGTCCACTTTTCCTATGTATAACAGTGTATAGACCACGTTTTAATTCTTGCATTGAATATTTAACATGACTTGGTTGGCATCTGTAATCAGTAGATTATTGGCCCCTATATAGACTTGAATATGAAATATAGATGGGAACAGGTGTATGCGACACGCGATTAGATTTTTTAAGCAATAAAAAAAAAGACTTAATAAAGCTTTCCATGTAGAATAAACAGGTCTTTAATTAATTCATTCCATATTCGAAAAGAATCAACGAATCTCCGCTAAAATATCAATAAAAACATGTACTTTAATAATGTAAACCTTTCATAATAAGGCCTAACCGAGCGTTACAGAAAATACTCTATTCCAAAGATTTAGTGTTTCTTTGTTCTTAAAATTGTTAAAACTTGTTCCTAATAAGTATTTATACTCGTCTTTTTATTATATATATATATTATTATTATAATATATATATATATATATATATTATTATAATATATATATACATATATATACATATATTATTATTAT